ATCCGACAATTATAACCGAACTTATGAAGACGACTTCACTCATCTAGGTCTATAAACAAGCACTTAGATTACCAACTGATTCAAGACCTGAATGCGGCGAACCACATACAAACGGACATTAGGCTCCAAACAATTGAGGGCTCGCATGTCAGTCAGTCAGTCAGTCAGTAACAACGTAGAACTTCGTACGTACGTACATCAGTTCGAGTTGCCACACCACATTAGCACAGAGATGCAGTTGTCGATTCAAATCCCGTAGTGGTAGAGGTAGCAAGAGTATAAGCAGTAATCGGGAAGATTAGGGTTTGGAGATGTTATTTAAAGAGTATAATCCAGTGAAATAAATTTGGAAAGAGGAAAAAAGGGACATGAAGGATTCAGAAGATTAGAATTTGGGAGAACACAGAGAGTGGATGCACCTGCGCCATTGCAAACGATTTTGAGCCATGTCATTCAGGGTCTCTAACCATCGGTTGCTATCATCTCGCGGTCCCCAACCAGGTAGTCTACACCTACCAACATGACTCAGTCCACTTGTCAGTGACTTCATGGACTTGTGCCATGTTTTGGTTTGGCCGCCCCTAGCTTTCTTCCAACCTACTCCTATACCACTGAACATAGCACGTCGAGGCAGTCGGTCGTTGGGCATACGTAACACGTGTCCCAGCCATCTCAACTGATGAAGTTTCACTACTTCATCAATTGATTTGCCATCCTTACCTAGTACCCGTTTCCTAACAACTGTTACTTACTCGATGGTCCCATGATATACGAGCAATATTTCGAAGACACCTATGATCAAATACTAGTAACCTACGAATATCCTCTACTCTTACCGGCCATGTTTCACTGCCATAAAGTAGGACGGAACGAACTGCTGCGCAGTAAACACGTCCTTTGGTTGATAGACGGATATCTCGCCTACGCCATAAATGACGCAAGTTGGCAAAAGCTAGTCGAGCCTTCTGTATCCGTGCTGAGATTTCGTCACACACTAAACCACAAGGGCTGATGAGACTTCCAAGATAAGTGAAGCGGTCGACACACTCAACTACTTCACTCCCTATCACTAGTTCGGGTGTCGATGTAACCCAATCCTGAAGCAACATTTTGCATTTCGAGGGAGAGAATCGCATCCCGAACATGCTTGCATTGTTGCTTAGAGTGGTCAGAAGACTCTGCATTTTGTCAGCGTCTTCACCAAATAAAACTATGTCATCAGCATATTCTAAGTCAACAAGTGAACCTCCCGGTAGAAGTTCAACCCCTGGAAATTTAGATGAGGAGAGTGTTATCTCTAAAAGTACGTCGACCACAAAGTTGAACAAGAATGGGGAGAGTGGACAGCCCTGACGAACACCACTTGAGGTAATCAATTCTGATGACAGTTCGCCATAAGCTCTCACTCTACCAGTTGTGTTCGAGTAGAGAGCCTTTATAAGGTTAATGTACTTCTTTGGTACTCCTTTCAGTGACAAACACTGCCATAGAACCTCACGATCAACAGAGTCGAATGCCGCCTTAAGGTCGAGAAATACTACCATTGTGGGGCGTCTGAATGTGTGTCTGTGTTCTAGAACCTGACGTAGTGTGAATATCTGATCTATACAACCACGTCCAGGTCGAAAACCGGCCTGGTTTTCTCTAATCTGCTCTTCACGAGCTTTGATTAGGCGTCGAAGTATTATTGAAGCTAATATTTTAGACACTATATTAGTCAAACTGATTCCTCTGTGATTGTCACAAGAGGACTTTTGTCCTCGCATGTCATGCCATAGTAGGACGATGTCACAACACAAGATATTTTCTACGGAAATCTAAATACACTGATCTCACAAAAGCCCCTCTCCAATAGTCAGTTCCCGAACACAGAATTTATCTGAACACATAAATATTGGTATAAAGGGGCACCGAATACATATGCGCCACACAAGTCACTTGATTTGTGTGTGGGCTAAGATACTGCCCGGGTGCCCAGACCGAAGCAAGTGGCTTCCTAAGGCGCCACACACCGAGCCTTCGACCTAAAGGTCTGTTCGACAAGGTAGTGGAGCAACGTAATGAGATGCAGTCCCATGAGAGCCGGTGACCAACGATTGGTTTATATGCCAGTTGTTCCTTCAGGATCCTGGAGCTCATATGCACCATTGGTTAGCGTTTTTCAACTCCCCTAAGTGAACCCCCCGTATTTACCAACCCGGTTAGAGCGCCGGATATTCGCTTCTCGTCCTCTCGATTTCGTGAAAACACCCCTACTGTGAGAAGGCAGTGAATAGGACTTCTCTGGAAGTGGCTGTACACACGTGGCCATGTGTGAGCATTTCGGGAGGGAAAGATGACTCTCCCCACTCCTGGCTGTACCAGGGCATTTGGGGGCCCTGAACACGGATTCTAAGAAATAGGAGCCAACCCTGAGAAATACGATAATTTTTAGATTATAATTGACAATGCGCAATAGTTTACCGGCGTTACGATGCTGATTCCACAGCCCCACCATGAACCCATACTCGTAAAGCATGAGTCTTAAATATCGATTTCAAAATACTTGACTCGGATTTTGTGTAACTATGTAGAAGCAAGATTTCCGGCAGTATTAGGGTGTATAATGAAATAAGATGGGAAGAAACAAAACCCATGTAAACACCGTTAGACAAAGTTATGTCGAAAGGGTTCATAGCTTTCGAATCCTCAGTTTTACATGTCATGTCATAACTGATCTCACCACCGCTTGTCTGTTCTACAAGCTCGATTCGGGACACAATGTTGGAAAAGAGGTTATAAAATATTAAGGGTGCTATTTCGTAAGCTCTATGAAAGCGGAATTGAATTATCGGCATTAATCTACTACATAAGACAAATGTTTCAACCAAGTAGATAGAAAGCCTAGTTTGTAGTTTACTTTCCTATCTCTTTATATATAGTACTGAAAAGACGTTTAGGAAGATGATCGCACCACACAATCAACGCACTAGCACATTTATTTTCGTATATTGCGTAGCTATTCGAAGGACCAAGCTGAACTCACCAAACACCAGCTTGTCATGTAGCGCACCTCGGGTAGAAGTTTGCACCCAGCCTTAAAAAAGTTGTATACTTCGCACGTTTACTTGTAGTATTTGACGAAGCAAGACAGTTGGATATACCATGGTAAGCTCACTCTTTGTAAAAGTCGAACGTCGCAACAAGGTCACAGGTGGCAAGTGCGAAACGACTTTGTATTGAGATATCGTTAATGACCAAGAAATTCGATTACTTAATCTCCTTTTTTAAAATAAGCGTTACTGGAGAACCATCTTAAACTTAGTGAATATGAAACACGTGTAGATCGGAGTGAGTAAACACAATAGATAACATGTATTCGTAGTGATAACTATAGATAAGTTTCCTTAGTAGCACGGAAATATAATTGCTTTTGTAAGGAGATATGGTATGGATTCAGTGTTCAGTAAATCGACTGTAACCCATCCGAAACTAACTAGATTTATTAGTTGAAAGTTAGTCCCTTTGACAAATTAAAAAATACAACGATAAGACGGGACTTATCAGAACTGTGCAATTGTTCGAAATGTATTGCTCTGACATATCGTATAGTTCTGATAAGCTTCTCATTGCATTAAATTACATTCATTGAGATTACCTCTTAAAATCGTAATAGCCCTAATCAAGGCGGATTATGTTTAGATAGCTGTTAAAAGTCGTAAGCTAAGAATTAGTCTTGGCAGAAACAAAAATTTATATCATTTCAACTGTCGATCCAAATTTGATGTAAGAGGAAGAACTTTAATCACGTACGGTGATTTAAAAGTAACAAATCAATCAATAACATATGAGTTCTTTCGGTTTTCTCTTGGCTTTATAGTACAAAATAACCTCTTATCATGTCTATTTTGTATAAGAACAAATGTTTTATTTTGCCAATAATTATGACTACGAGCAGTTTATCACGAAAAGGACTAAATAAGTCACCCAATCAGGATGTTACATTGTAGCTTATGCTGAGTCCTTGACTGAAGACTGGTTTTATTTCATCCATACAATTGAGTCAGCTCAGGGAATTACTTAGTCAGAAATTAATGCAACCTGTTCCCTACACAACCTTAACATAGGTGTTATAATTCATTCTTACGGTTATAACCCGGCTATTCGTATTGCTTAGTCTTCTCAGACACCAATTCACTCGACAGGTCCCCAAATCAGAACACGGTTGAACAGGAAAGAGATTATATTCCAAATAACAAGGTTAAATGGAAGAAGCACAATAGGAAAAACGTTAGTATATTTATAGTTTCTACATGAGAAGATCCCTAGATTGTTCTCCAAGTATCGACTAGCGCTGATTGGATAAGAATCAGCCAATCAGCGTGTATCAAGGCAGTCGTGCATTGAGCATGGTTTAATCCAATCTCTGTCCCGCTAACAATAGGCTAATAGATATTTCGATATTACAAGACGGTCAAATGAAGAGGACTTTCAGGATACATAAATGTTTGTTTTACTGGTGTTGGAGCGATTGCTACAGCATCCAATCAATCTCCACTAACAGTCATTTGTGCACTGTTAAGCTCCGATGTACAGTAACAATAAAGCACAAACACCAGAAACTATGTAAGCTTTGTTATTTTTAGGTAGTGGTGACGCGTGTTTACCTTTAACGGATCTTCAGTCATCCTATCTTTGCACAGCCACACAATAGCTTAAAGTGTCAGTCGTTGAAATACTACATGGACTTTCAGTTCTGGAAGTAAGATATATAAAGTAGGAAGCCATTATTGCAGAAATGACTGCACACATAATGGTCTTGATTGATTTGTCTTAAGGAGTTATTCCTCTGATTCTAAGATCACACCCCTAGGCTGACTAAACTGTTACTACAAATCTAGTTTCTCTCTTATGAACTATGGCAGTAAGTCCTATAAGTATCCACTTAATTATTAATACACATCACATCGTTTATTAGATTTGCTGATAATTATAAACCTCAGTAAAAGAATAACGTTTTATCTGAAGCGCTAAACGCTACTTTAATTTCTGAAGAGAAATGGATAAGAATTATGATAACACATTTTAAAATGAATGAAAGAAAGATCCATATTATTTCCAGTGACGTTCATATTAACTAGCGACTTTTATTCGTAAAGAATGAAACAACGAGTGTTTTCAATTTTTACAAAAACACAAAACATTAACAAGTTAACTGCATAGAACATATCTGTGTAGTTGAAATAATTGGATAAAGCATTCAAGAATAATAAAATTAGGGAGGATGTGGGTTTTCATTTAGTTCCGCAAGAGACGGAGTTAGGGAAAAAGAAAACAAGGATGATAGTGAGGAATCAGATTTGATCACCATATCGTTTAACGCTGAAAACAAAAAGATCAAATAATGAGTCACTAAAGCAATTATAAATTTATTTAGTAAATGTGGAAAAACATCCACGATGAATACTAAAAGATCGTCATCGGTACATAACTAATACACTATTGGTTGCCAAACTTCGATGAAAAACCTCACATAAGAATTATCGGTTCAATGCCCCAAACATGGCGCAGTTCAAACCCAATGGTTGAAAACAAAGTACCTGAACTAATGACCCACAGTTCCCAAAGAAGCAGGCTGATAAATGTGCATATCACGAGCATAAACTTGACAATACATGAGTATCTTCCACATCTCCCAAATGATGCAACAGGGATACGTATCGACATGCATCCATCTAACCTAACATTAAAGTGTAAAATCGTTGAAAGTATCAATTGCTTGATCTATACACTGGAAGTTTCATTGACTTAAGGCGGTCTATACCGTCTATGGTATCGAAGCGATAGTTTGAGATATACACGGGCAGGATATATTACCAACCACTTTATGCTTTATTACTTAACTAAATGTATGAGAAATTTCCTTGTCGCATCAATTGATGGACACGGGAGACATTCAAATATTACTGAACTTGCATTTATGATGTGGAAACTTTATTTCTAACACCATTTCACTAAAAGGGATTAAACCTTGGTCATTCATAAGCAATGCCGAATTTTGACCGAAGTTCCTGTCTCTTCAGTATCAACTAAATAAACAGTTGATATGGTCACGAAAATTTGAAGCAAATCGTTCGGTATCTAAATTATTGATTCGGACGCACAGCCAGATTTGTGCGTTGAATACTGCATTACAGAAGGGAGGTGTTCATATGAGCGAATTCTATGATTAATACTGTTCGAGATAAAAAAAGATATTCGAATTGGACTAACTACAGCGGTACTTACCAGTCGGATAGGTATATTGTATTTCATTTTAGGGCAAACATGGTACTATATTAGTTCAAAATGTTATCTGTAATAATTGATGTGTTCAGGAGTTCAAAATTATCCTCGTTAAAGTATCCCAAGGCCTAGAAATGTTTTGTCTAATAGGCATTGAATAGAAGCTTCCCAGAGATATTCAAAAAATTGAAGGATTATGTGCCACGTTTTGATTGGATAATTTCCTGCCATTATTTTTCGGTATGTTTCCAAAAGACCAAGGCCATATGAAAGTAACACACTCAATGGTGAGACTATAATTTATGGACGACTTTTGAGAGACGCTAAAGTGACCTTGCGAATGTTTGCCTACTAACTAGGACTAAATCAGGATCATAAACCAGTGTGAGGATTTGGAATTATGATTTACATTCGACATCAGCTAAAATGTCAAAACGCTATTTAGCCGAATAGCTGAATGAATTTCGCGCCAAAATCCAAGACCTGTCATCTTATATCTGCTTGGTTCGTCCACAAATTATAGTCCCGAGTTTGAAGTGTAAAAGTAGTCTGGAGTTACAGGAAGCGGCTAGGAAATCAGCAATAAGTATTTCAGTGGTAGATTTACCAGAATTCATAAGAAGTTGCATAAATAGAAGATTTACGCAAACCATGGTTGTTGGTGAGGCACTAAAGTTGGAATATAATTATGACGCTGGATTTCGCCAGTTAGTTTGAACTTCTCATTTATATTAACCAATATGTAATTAAAGTAAGGAGATTGAAAACACCAATCTCCAATGTTTTATTCCACTTCTAGGTTGGTTAAGGCACTTACTATCCCAACGACATCAATGAACTGTTGAAAGCCTAGGGAACCGAATTCAGATTCACGAAGATATTTATAATCATGTGATTTGGTACATTTCAATTTTGAACAGAAAAAGGAAAATGTCGCTTCGAATACTTTATTTATTTATATTCAACGTACCACATTTGAAGAAGAAATTGAGCGTTTGAATTTGTTCAGGAGTTCCAGTTATTGTAATAATACGATCTTCAACACCGGGTTCCTGTTTACTGATTTTAATATCTGCATTTGACTCATGACGAACTTGATTTATGCGACAACCGGATCTACCCATGATCGCACCTATCATCTTAATTAGAAAAACAGAATTAACACTTAGAAGTGTAAAGCATAAAAAGGATTACAACAGAATTTAATTACACGAACCTTGTTGCTCACAGAGACCTGAGTGCTAGTAGTCGGAGTTAATATACTCATGGCCATACGGCTAGGTAACCTGAAGAAAAAAAAACAATACAACGCTACACATGAAAACAAAACTTTAATAGGAAAGCGAAAAACTTAATTTATGCATACTGAATGTTCGAAATAAACCCGGCGTGTAAAGTAAAGAGCAGAAAATACTACGAAGTCATTAAAATAATAGATAAGTAATTTAACAAACCTACATAAAAAATTAAAATTAAGTAAAAGAATGACAAACAGTTAATAGCACATAAAAAGCAAACAGAATTACAAAACAACCAAATACACAACAACAAAAACGAACACATTTATATCAAACAAGAGAATCACGCAATAAAAAACACGAAATAAAAAAAAACCCCGAAAACAATCGCATTCCGCACATATACACAAGGAATTCGCATTTCATAAATCAATGTATTTCTCTACCAAGTCTTTCCGAGAATGCAAAATCGCTCGAACACCACACACAAACTCTACTTTAAACACAACGATTCACTGACCAACGCAAAATCTATTTGTCGAAAATTCATTTCAAAACCACCATCAACATCAGCGCTCAACACATACAAGACTAACCCAAAAAGTCATATCTGTTACGCACAAGATAAATAACTAAAGTGACATGTCGTCTGCATTCGTACCAAACAAGTCCCTGGAATGGACAAGAGGCATAGCAATGCATCCGTTCAATCTCAGCCGCAGGAAACGACTCGTCGTGAATCCCATATACACGGAGTAGCTGAACGGCTATTCAACATACTATACTCAAACATCTACGTACACATAATTACACAACAAGTGAACAATCATTCAAAACAACTCATTCACAAGACACTTTCATATGCATATATATATTCATAAAAAGACAGAAATTCAAAACAAATTAATGTCTTCCTGAACAAAGTTAAATTACTCAGAAACACACACACACACACAGACAACGTACATCAATTCATTCTGTCTTCATAGTACGGTAAAAGGAAACTCTGCTTCTCTCAGTTCGCACACTCACATGGCGTAGCATGACCAACACAGTAGACAATGAAACCCGCTGTCATACTGACCACTAGTGTTTCATTAAACAGACAACACACTAATAACATTTTGTCGCACACGCATCAAATGCATTGCATGAATATCAGCTACTCTAACGACATCATTCACGAACGTGCACAATGCAGTATAGTAGCTATATGACTGACTACAGACACAGAAAAACCAATCACAAACAAACATACGAATACACTACTAAGAACGACATAAACACCTTAACAAATCAACATCCCATGTGGCCTGCACGTCGTACCCAACGAGTCCCTGAAATGGACAAGAGGCATAGCAGTGCATCCATTCAATCTCAGCCGCAGGAAACGACCCACAGTGAATCAACTATGCACGGGGCAGCTGAACGGCTACTCGCCATAACCAATCGACACAGCCCAAACAATACAAATACACATTCATATAAAGCATCAACATACAAAATCCACTCTATATGTGTGTACAACTGTCTCTTTACATACACACTTTTGTTAGATAAAATAAAACGAACATATCAGACAAGACTATTCTCAATCAGGACACAGCTTCATGTATGTCGGTTGTGATGACAGGGTTTAGAAATAAAGAACCTGCATGTGCGACACGACAAATTATCTTTCAGCCGCAAACAACTATTCAGCACATATTATAAATGCGATGAACAGCTCCACGGCAAGTCATCACACACAAATAACAAACCAACATTAGCCCACATCACCGAATCACATTTGCACAAAATCAAATGAATCCATTGCTCTCTCTCACTATATATATATATATATATATATATATATATATATATATATATATATATATATATATATATGCAGAAAGGAAAGAGCATAGCGCACACGCACACTGAAAATTTGCATGTCATACATGTATGTATTTCTCTACCAAGTCTTTCCGAGAATGCAAAATCGCTCGAACACCACACACAAACTCTACTTTAAACACAACGATTCACTGACCAACGCAAAATCTATTTGTCGAAAATTCATTTCAAAACCACCATCAACATCAGCGCTCAACACATACAAGACTAACCCAAAAAGTCATATCTGTTACGCACAAGATAAATAACTAAAGTGACATGTCGTCTGCATTCGTACCAAACAAGTCCCTGGAATGGACAAGAGGCATAGCAATGCATCCGTTCAATCTCAGCCGCAGGAAACGACTCGTCGTGAATCCCATATACACGGAGTAGCTGAACGGCTATTCAACATACTATACTCAAACATCTACGTACACATAATTACACAACAAGTGAACAATCATTCAAAACAACTCATTCACAAGACACTTTCATATGCATATATATATTCATAAAAAGACAGAAATTCAAAACAAATTAATGTCTTCCTGAACAAAGTTAAATTACTCAGAAACACACACACACACACACACAGACAACGTACATCAATTCATTCTGTCTTCATAGTACGGTAAAAGGAAACTCTGCTTCTCTCAGTTCGCACACTCACATGGCGTAGCATGACCAACACAGTAGACAATGAAACCCGCTGTCATACTGACCACTAGTGTTTCATTAAACAGACAACACACTAATAACATTTTGTCGCACACGCATCAAATGCATTGCATGAATATCAGCTACTCTAACGACATCATTCACGAACGTGCACAATGCAGTATAGTAGCTATATGACTGACTACAGACACAGAAAAACCAATCACAAACAAACATACGAATACACTACTAAGAACGACATAAACACCTTAACAAATCAACATCCCATGTGGCCTGCACGTCGTACCCAACGAGTCCCTGAAATGGACAAGAGGCATAGCAGTGCATCCATTCAATCTCAGCCGCAGGAAACGACCCACAGTGAATCAACTATGCACGGGGCAGCTGAACGGCTACTCGCCATAACCAATCGACACAGCCCAAACAATACAAATACACATTCATATAAAGCATCAACATACAAAATCCACTCTATATGTGTGTACAACTGTCTCTTTACATACACACTTTTGTTAGATAAAATAAAACGAACATATCAGACAAGACTATTCTCAATCAGGACACAGCTTCATGTATGTCGGTTGTGATGACAGGGTTTAGAAATAAAGAACCTGCATGTGCGACACGACAAATTATCTTTCAGCCGCAAACAACTATTCAGCACATATTATAAATGCGATGAACAGCTCCACGGCAAGTCATCACACACAAATAACAAACCAACATTAGCCCACATCACCGAATCACATTTGCACAAAATCAAATGAATCCATTGCTCTCTCTCACTATATATATATATATATATATATATATATATATATATATATATATATATATATATGCAGAAAGGAAAGAGCATAGCGCACACGCACACTGAAAATTTGCATGTCATACATGTATGTATTTCTCTACCAAGTCTTTCCGAGAATGCAAAATCGCTCGAACACCACACACAAACTCTACTTTAAACACAACGATTCACTGACCAACGCAAAATCTATTTGTCGAAAATTCATTTCAAAACCACCATCAACATCAGCGCTCAACACATACAAGACTAACCCAAAAAGTCATATCTGTTACGCACAAGATAAATAACTAAAGTGACATGTCGTCTGCATTCGTACCAAACAAGTCCCTGGAATGGACAAGAGGCATAGCAATGCATCCGTTCAATCTCAGCCGCAGGAAACGACTCGTCGTGAATCCCATATACACGGAGTAGCTGAACGGCTATTCAACATACTATACTCAAACATCTACGTACACATAATTACACAACAAGTGAACAATCATTCAAAACAACTCATTCACAAGACACTTTCATATGCATATATATATTCATAAAAAGACAGAAATTCAAAACAAATTAATGTCTTCCTGAACAAAGTTAAATTACTCAGAAACACACACACACACACACACAGACAACGTACATCAATTCATTCTGTCTTCATAGTACGGTAAAAGGAAACTCTGCTTCTCTCAGTTCGCACACTCACATGGCGTAGCATGACCAACACAGTAGACAATGAAACCCGCTGTCATACTGACCACTAGTGTTTCATTAAACAGACAACACACTAATAACATTTTGTCGCACACGCATCAAATGCATTGCATGAATATCAGCTACTCTAACGACATCATTCACGAACGTGCACAATGCAGTATAGTAGCTATATGACTGACTACAGACACAGAAAAACCAATCACAAACAAACATACGAATACACTACTAAGAACGACATAAACACCTTAACAAATCAACATCCCATGTGGCCTGCACGTCGTACCCAACGAGTCCCTGAAATGGACAAGAGGCATAGCAGTGCATCCATTCAATCTCAGCCGCAGGAAACGACCCACAGTGAATCAACTATGCACGGGGCAGCTGAACGGCTACTCGCCATAACCAATCGACACAGCCCAAACAATACAAATACACATTCATATAAAGCATCAACATACAAAATCCACTCTATATGTGTGTACAACTGTCTCTTTACATACACACTTTTGTTAGATAAAATAAAACGAACATATCAGACAAGACTATTCTCAATCAGGACACAGCTTCATGTATGTCGGTTGTGATGACAGGGTTTAGAAATAAAGAACCTGCATGTGCGACACGACAAATTATCTTTCAGCCGCAAACAACTATTCAGCACATATTATAAATGCGATGAACAGCTCCACGGCAAGTCATCACACACAAATAACAAACCAACATTAGCCCACATCACCGAATCACATTTGCACAAAATCAAATGAATCCATTGCTCTCTCTCACTATATATATATATATATATATATATATATATATATATATATGCAGAAAGGAAAGAGCATAGTGCACACGCACACTGAAAATTTGCATGTCATACATGTATGTATTTCTCTACCAAGTCTTTCCGAGAATGCAAAATCGCTCGAACACCACACACAAACTCTACTTTAAACACAACGATTCACTGACCAACGCAAAA